AAAAAAAAAAAAAAAAAAAAAAACAGTTTAAATGTTTATAATATTTCTTTTTTGGTACAATATATTTTAATGAATTGATATAGTTCACCTTGAGTTAACATGTCTATAAACCTTTGGACACCAATCCTATGGCAATATCAATAGCATTAGCTTAACTCTAAACGCGATTTATGTTTTGGAAACAATTCGCGTAGTTTGCATAGCCTTTAAACATTGATAAAGTTTATTCAGTTCACTGTTTTTCTCTATTTCAATGCTTTCAGCACCACTTATGTGTTATAAAGATAACGAGGATCGTTATGATCGGTCTGTGACTTTGGCCAGCCATGAGGTCGACATTGAGCAAACGCACGTAGACTAAGAACACTGTTGTTGAGGTGAACGACTGAAATCGTAGGTGTTAGTAAACTAAATTATTAATTCTCTTGTATCCAAGCCAAGCGCTTTGAATTCAATCTGAGTCTTCCGTTGCATAATTGGCAAATGCGATCTTAAGGGTCAGATAGAATCTCTAGCTTTGAATCGCTGGTTACGTTATTGGGAACTGTCCCTCGTGACTTGAACCTATCCTGGCTAGATCACTAACTGATGTTCTTCTCTTTTATTATACACACTACTGACAACAGCGACCACGTCAGTCCACCTGCTAAAGCTATCATGCAAATTAAACAAAATGAAAAATTCCACATCTAATCTAATTACTATCTATCATACATATACACTTGTCAATAGGTTTGCCAGAAGGCTCAATCAAATATGCATAGAATAATTTTACTCCATCATCAATCAAGTCCGCTCCAAATTCAGTTAGTCTTAACAATTCCAATCACTATCGTTTTTTTTTTATCTTAAAATTGCACATGAAATCACTTTGTGATTAATTTCCTACGCTTACGCACCTTGTGTGGGGAAAAAACCAGTTCAAACAGTCTTCTTGACGTCACGTGACTTCCGTGTTCGTATAATTGGCAAAATCGTTGTGCTCGTGTTATTATCTGATGTCAGTTTGTCTCGTATCTCCAGAAACTAAATCAAGGCATCTCGGACAAACCACAACGCTAATGCATTTTAAGATAAATGTTTCATTTTTTCGGGATTGTATTATAGCGTACGGATTTTCGGATTAACATATATGGGTTAATTAGCGATGATGTTCATGACACAGACTTGATGATGAAGGTGAACGATAGCTTATTTTTTGTGTAAACTTAATGCGACTTAAACAAACAAACACGCGGGAACTTGGATACACAAACGTGATAACCTTGGATCGGGTCTTTTCCTATCCACTGTGTGTGACAACTAAAATCTATCATTTACTGCAGGCCTTGATGTTCTGTCATTGGTGTTCTGCGGACCACAGTTTACTTTGGCTGTTTCTATGCGGTAAATTAAGACCAGCTTGAAATCAAAGAGGACGACCAACTGAAAGCGTGATGTCTGCCAATTTCAGTGAGCTAGAAGAAGGAAATGCTCCTTCGTGTCCTTTCCATAACGATTCCTCGTTGGAGAAGATTTTAAAGACATTCGCATACTGTGTTATGCTTCTCCTCGCTCTGTTCGGAAACATTTTTCTTGTTTGTGTTGTGTACAGCCAACGCAGACTACGAACAACAACAAATTTTCTGATATCCAACATGGCTATAAGTGACCTTCTGGTGCCGGTGTTCGCAATGCCGAGAACTATTGTGGAAATCCATTTAGGGTTACGTCGATGGCTCTTCACTAATACCCTAGGTTTAGCTTTATGTAAAGTTATCTACTTCTTACAAGACGTTTCCACGGCTGTTTCAGTACTCAGCCTGTCGTGTATAACACTCGATCGATTTTACGCCGTCGTGCGACCACAGAGTTCAACTCCTATTAAAGGCTATGTTCGGACGGTTATAGCGAGTATATGGATCATAGCCATGTTAATGCATGCTGCATATTTCTATGCCTTCCAACTCGTAACTGTCAATGACGTCACTTACTGCATCCTCCTTTGGCCTTCGACAGTGGATCCAATTGCCACCAAGATCTTCTTTTTGACACTCATCATACTACTCTACTTTATTCCATTGATACTGATAATCGTTTTACAGTGGTTCATCGTCAAGAAGCTGAAAAAACAGCGGCTTCCTTCGTTCTCGTCGTCGTTTCGCCAGAGAAAACGAGGGAAAAGAAATAAAAAAGTGGTACATTTTACCCTGGCGGTGATTGTGACTTTCTTTATCTGTTGGACACCGACAGTAGTTTATTCATTCATTGTCATTTTCGGAGAGACAACCAATTGTATTCCAGAGCTTTTTCGCTTCTCTTCTCTTTTCCTTGTCCAATCTAACTCGTCTATTAATTTTTTTATTTATTTTCTCTTTAATGATAATTATCGTAATACATTTAAGAAGATTTTCTGCCACCGTGATGGGTTCATGAAGACTCTACGGCAGAGTGGAGCCGTACAGCTCACGGCGGAACGCAAGAGAGCGCATTCTAAAACTCTTTCTCTAGATTTATTACCAGATAAGAATTACAGATTAGCAGAAAACATGACGCTTAAATCACCAGATATAGCCGTCCATGTCACATCTACTGAACATTGTTTAGAATGTAGTGCGATTAGGACGAATGACAAGCAAAGAAATGGGACAAATGTAATAGAAAAGAGGATGGGAGTGGAAGAAATGGGCGAAGGAAAGAACAGTTGTAAAGGAGATAAAAAAGCGGACAGATTTGAAGACATAAGTTCATTACGATTGGAAGAAAGTATCGAAACGAAGGAATCCCCTGCAACTCTTGCGGAGTTAAAATTTCAAAGACAGTCAAGTAAAAAATTGGATTTGGATATAAATCCATGTGTTGCACTGCAAACAAACGCTACACATGTTATGGGGAACGGAAATGCGGTTAATTGTGAATGTTTCGCTGCACTAAAAAACACTTGATYATAATACAAAATGAAGTAGCTGTCAAACACATTCTTTAGAACCGTTTTGGATAAAATTAAAGGAAGAGAAACGAACAAATACACACATAATATGTATATATATGAATAAAAATATATCAAAAAAACAATGACTTAAAATGTTACTGTATCTTTTCGCGTTTTTACTTTCCCGGAAATTGCCTAAGGGGGATTCAAAAACAAAACCAATATTGCAAAAACTGTTACCAAAAAAAATAGTTTTAAAATGAATGACTTCGTCAATTTTTATCACTCTTGTAAAAATTGATGCTAAATCATGTGAATTGGAGTCGAGTAGTGAAAGGAAAAAAGATTCGTGCAACTTCTATTTTTTTTGAGTTATTGATAGCCGAAGCGCTGAAGTGGCCGAAAGATGCCACGCTTTTTTATCTGTACTATCAACATCGAATCGATGCTATTGAGAAAAGTCATCCATTAGATTTTTATAATTGTCGGAAAAATTAAAATACAAAGCAAACATGTTTGTAGCGAAAGATAAACACCAAAGTTTTTATTATTAATGTTATCATTGTCTGTTTTTTTTTTTTTTGGTTTTTGTTGAAAATGTATAAAATATTACACTTGTGATCTGGTAGGGATCATTCACCAAATGACAGATCGACGTTTTTATAATGTAATACATCGTTTTAGAATTTGTGGATTTTCGTGAACTTCCTTCTCATTTAGAACTTTTTTTCCAGTTAATGACCAAGAATGTCTTTTTTTGGGTTAACTGATGATTAATTAATTTGTTTGTGACGTGTTTTACCTTTGAATAGCGAAGTCAAAGAATTATATTTCTAAAACTAGTGATAACGACACTCGATCTAATCCTACATATTATATTTAAGACAAATACAGACTTCAAGACGCTAGATCTCTTTGTTTCTTTACTTTTCGTTTATATATTACAAGATGTAATACCGGTATGTCGGATTTTGTTTCCGCAGGCACTTTTCTGTTTAATTCACCCGTTAACCAATGAATTTTACTGTAGAACTATTGAGTTTATCAAGGTTGACAAGTAGAGTGGATTCTAAAATAAGACATCGCTGATGGTGTTCAGGCACTATTCATAAAATGCTTTTCCACGCTCGAGGATAAAAATCTAAGAGATTCGTAATGATATTTGCCTACGTCAAAAGGATGATTCAAAAGCTTTTTTCATTTAAGGGGAAAAAAATAGCGGATGTATATTTATAATTTTGAACCGCAATAGTTTAAGGGGTTAACAAATAATATGCGTATAAACACGGGAAATTAATTTAAAGATGAAATAACAAAAGCAGGAAGACTGAAGAAGGTATACAGCAAGAAGAAAAAACAGGCGACGGAAACCAAAAAAATAACAATGAGCAAGGAAGCGAAAGAGAASAGAAGAGAAGAGAAAGAAGTGAAGAAAAGAAAAGGAAAATGAAGGGAACAAAGCAGGACAAGAAAAGGAAAATGAATTTAAGAGAAAAGTAGAGAATAATAGAAAAAAGAATAGAAAGAAGTAAAAAAGCGAAGGAGAGGACACCAGAAGACAAAGAAAAGAAAAATTACTATTAATCAAGTTTTGCAGCAAGCTTTGCAGCGACAAAAGCGAACAATGGAATAAATTAAATCTATAAAATACGACCATGGTATTTTATTTGATAAGAAAGACATTAAAGCAGATGAGTCGATGCCTCATGGGAAATAAAAGACACGAGATAAACCGAAATAGTTTCCTTGTGTCAAATCAGGATGAGAAGCCACCCCTTCCTCGTTGAAATCACCCCAAATAGTAAAAAATATTTTGCACCAATACACCTACGAATAATCAAAAGTATTGTATTTGCCTTGCAAAAATTTAAGTATCTGGTCGCCAGCGCACAGACGCAGTCAGATAATCACAATTTCTTGGACAAATCGGTTGCTGTAGAGACCAGAGGTTCGGTGTAGCGAGTAGCCTGCGTTGATCAGCGGTCTGCGGTGTTGCGAAAAAGAGGGGGAAGACCTTTCTTGCCCTCTCTTCCTCGCAACACCGCAGACCGCCAAGCAATGCGGGCTATGTGGTAAGCTACAGCACCAAGAAAGGGACATTGATTTTGCGGCTCAAAAACCAAAGCGTTGTTTTGATCGAAAGAAGAGCGAAGCACATTTAAGATATACATTAAAAATTAATAATAATAATTTGAGAGAGAAATTACAAAATGTTTCGTAAAATCACGAAAACGCTGCGACCACAGACATCCCGCCCCACATTTTTGAACCAGCCTCTTTTTTTTCGCCAATAATTTCTCTTGAAGATTTTTAAATTAGCAACTCGTAGGAGAAATAAATAACTTGCGATATAATATATATGTACAAGGCGATATAAGATGTTGTAAAACCCTAAGAGTGGAGGGGTGGGGAGGTTTCTGCAATCATTGGTTTTCAGTAAATATATGATATATACTTGAAAAAATTGGAATCTAGCTAATTGTAATAAAAAGATATGGTAAAAGATTGTGTTGCTGTATAATAGCGCGTTAAGGATAAGCTATTACAATAACAACAGCGTGGTTGTAGTGTGTTGGCGAGTGGAATTTAGGTTAAAAAACGTAATCTTCTGTAGCCATGTCAATGGCCCAAGCGAACTTTTCTCGCTGTGTTTTGTTGTACGCCTTCTCGATTGGTACTTCGAACTTCTTGCACCTGAAAAAATGATAAAGGTAAATCCATGTTAAATCGATGTTACCAGGGAGTGGTTGGTCCTTGCTTTCATTTTCCCTTTTCCCCTCCCCCCAGGAAGCCGAGCGGGCAAACATAAAATTTATATTTATAAAGTATATTGGCGGGGTTACGTTTTCAAATAATACTCCCATTTCGAGTTCGCCTTTGCTCAGTCTTAGCCTCAATTGTGTACAATTGTATTCTTTTCTTATATTAAGGTCCATTGTATAGTAAGGAGTGTATGTACTACGGAACAATACAAGTTGATTAAAATGCCACTGGTTTTGGTTGAATAGCTGAATATTATAACGCACAAACGAGACTGACTTAGCAAAGAGAACTCGAAACTGGAGTATTTGGTGTTTTGTATATTGTTCCAATTACTAGCAAATTGAATTACTTTTAAGGCCGGTTTAGACAGCACAATTTTCGTCTACAACTATCGTATACAACACGCTCGCGTCTGTCGTAGGCGAGTTGTAGGCTTGATTTACACGCTACGACTCGAGTGGTAGGATGGCGCGAGCGTGTTGTATACGATAGTTGTAGGCGAAAATCGTACCGGCTAAACCGGCCTTTAGATGTGCTTGTCATTGAAAAGCGTTAAGTTATATAAAAAGACACCATGACCGTTGTGCAGTCAATAGACTCTCCAATAGTTGCCCCCTCAGCATCCCATAATGTCTTAATTAAGACAATAGAATTCAAGATGGCCGCCGTATTGGTAAAAAGGTCTATTCCCATTAATTTAATAACTCAGACCTTCTCCCTGCCAAACCCTGACCGTCAAACAAATCGTTCTTCTTTATGATCTGACAATTCTTAATTCTTCGATGAAAATAACTGTTTTTGTAATAAATTTAAAAAAAAAAAAAAATCCCCTCCCATGTGAATCCGTATCCACATGTGGATACGGATTCATGTGCTACAGTATAGCCATAGTTATTTCTATTTTTTTAAGTGTACATATTATTATATATTATATATTATATATTATACACTCAATTGCAGAAACGTTGTAGTATACATTTATACAAATATCTAATTTATTCAGTATATTTAATGATATGCAAAACAGAAAAATCGCTTTATTTATTGTTTGTTTCATTCAATGGACGTCAAAATATTTTTTTCTTTTCTTTTATATTTTTTACAGATTATAAATCAGTTGTTTTTAAGCGCTGGAAATGGTTATTTTGCATTACGCATCTCATTAGATATTTGTATAAATGTATAAATTTAGTTTCAGTTAGGCCTAAGGCAAACGTCGAACTTTCCATGCACCGAACTTAATCACATCAAAGAATGTCGCCTCATTATCACCTGATATCCATTGTTTATAATGAGTTCGGTGCATGGAAAGTTCGACGTTTGCCCTAGGCCTAAGTGTCCTCAATCAGTTTTTAAAGCTAAATCTATAGACACTTTCAACGAAGTTATTATTATCATTATTATACATTCGAAACAGCAAGTAATTACTCCTGTTTTGCTTAAAAAATAATTCATTCCTATTCGTTATCTGCAATTAGGTGTATTTGAAGTGAATGCGAAAGACTATTTCATCTAAAGAATAGACTTTTTTCGAATTTGTATAATTTCGCTGTTTCTTGAGAACAGCATAAAACTCCTGTAGCGCTACAGTCTCATTTCACCAGCTTAGATCATCGTTGCTGGGAGAGATAAATTGGAACACTGATTTGACAGTCGGAACACCACAAAAAATAAATGTACCGCATCTGGAGTTGAAAGGCGCTAGAATCGTGTCATTGAGCTTCCAAATAAATGAATATATTCTTTTTCATCTCAAAAATGTTCATTTCAAGCTTTTCCAGGTCAATAGCTCCAATAATTCATTCTATATTAATTCCACACAGCTGGATAAATTGAATATGTTTTAAGTCAAAAAAATAATTACTATACAGTAGTAATATCCTTGGGCAAAGGGTCACCGTTTTTTGATTTGATGAACCGCACAGATATTAATTTTATTGAGGTATGTTTGATTATATTGTGACCATAATCTTCTTATACTTATTTCATATTGGAAAGTTGTTATTGCGCGTTCTAAGCAGTGAATGGTTTCATGTTTGATTAGTTTTAAGGCTCTTTTTGTCTCGTTTTTCTGCGCATCGCAATAAAAATTCTGCACCAAAATTCATTACGATATTAGCTTCATGTTGAAACTTTCATTAGTTTGAAACTTAATCTTATTAAAATCTTTTTATTTTTAAAAATGTTTAATTATTTTGGAACTAAAATCTAGTTATCTAGTGCGTCAAGCGCAAGTAATTTCTGAACGGAGTAAATTTGATGACTTGGACGTCAAACAAGCCGTCTTATTACTCTACCTCCTGGTATAAGAGTCGGAACACCAAAGTAGAGTATACAGTTGAATAAGGGTATGACTGTGAAACGACACGGCACGGTCACGACACGCAATCGACGATATTCTTTGAACCAATCACAGCGTGCGACATCACTGCTCAGCCAGTCAAAATGCCCAGACACAGTACCGTCATGGTGATGGACACGGCACGTCTAAACGTGAGTTTTTCACATTCTAAATATTTCATTTATTTCTATTTTGTAGGTTATACACCGAAAGGAAATGAGAAGACCAATTTAAATAACTATTATTCTGCACTGACGTTTTCACCTGTAACAGAGGTTAGTTAGTCAAGAACAATAGTTATTCAAATTAGTCGCCGTATTGAAGAAATAGAAAACGCGCGTGCGTGCTGTGTGCTGTCATAAAGCACGCGGGGGTTGGCAGAACACGAGAGAAGTGTTAGGAGAAGCACGACGTGTAGCGGAGTGCTTCTCGACACTTCTCGAGTGTTCTGCCAACCCCAAAGTGCTTTATGACTGCACACAGCACAGCAAGCAAGTTTTTTATTTCTTTTATAAAATACTAATTACAATAATAGATAGGAATGACGCAACGAAAAGTGCGCGCGCGTGCAATGTGCTCTCATAAAGCACGCGCTCCAAACCAATCAGAACGCGACATTCATAACAGTTATTTTATAATTTGATTCTGTGTATGCACATAGGCTTTGGAGATGTGATAGATGTGATAGCTTTAAAAAACACTGCGAACGACAACTAAATAACGCGTGTGCTTGATTACTAAAATCGTATTATCCATTAACGTTGTGCGCGACAAATTGATTAACGGGTGAAGTTGATTACTTTTTGATTAAAAGGAGCCGTCTTATTATCAACTTCCTACATTACTGATTGCTTTAGATTGTTGGGCGATAATGATTTCGTTATGTCTTGTTTTTCCCTCTTCATCATAGAGAGTCTGCATTGTCAACGAAAAACTCTTAATGTTATTACACCTTTTGCTGTTCATTAACAGAAAATGTACATTCATTTGTGCCAATAGTTGTATCA